GGGGGTCGACTGTTTGTTTATTTATTTTGGATAAAGGGACACAGTAGGGATGTTGACTGTTTTTTGTTTTTGTGGCCGAAAACCATGTCGAAATTATTTTTTGGTGCGAGACAATGAAACGCACCCAAAATTTAGTAGATATACCGCCAATTGATGAGTAAACAGTATCTGATATCTTTACAAATTGCAGGAGAGACAGACAGACAGACAGACAGACAGACAGACAGACAGACAGACAGACAGACAGACTGACAGACAGACAGACAGACAGACAGACAGACAGACAGACAGACAGAAATTGTTGAATGGTATTTAAAAAAGAGTTGAGAATTGTTGAATTGTTTGGGTGTTTTAACAATCAAAGAAACCCAACTCCTAATTCATAAATTGTGCCTATGGTGACACTTAGCGCATTGTATGTTAATACTTCAAATTAATGTATAATTAGTTCTACAAAAAAATTAGTGTACTGACCTTTTGGTTTGTTTTCCTTCTTGTCTATATCCGGTGACATACAGGAAGGGGCGCCACCTTGGGGCGACACAGGCCCGCCCCCACACAGGGCGTGGTAACCCATGGGGGGCGTGTCGTACTGTGTCCTCTGTGGCGGTGACGGGTAGGCGGGGTGTGTCGGCGTGTGGTGGGAGGAGTGGTGAGTCCCGGCCACACCCATCGCGCCCATGCCCATACCCACCCCCACGCCCATCCCCGACGACGAGACATTTGATTGGTGCAGAGAAGAGCCGTAATCCTTCCCACTGCCTACCATATTAGGAGATGTCATTGAGAAATAGTGCGTGGACGCTCTGTGGTGGTGACCCAAAGCTCCGCCCACCTGTCTGTCGAGTGAGTTGTTGGCTAGCCCGTGTGAGTGGTAGAGGAGGTTCCAATCTGCTGCTGAGTAAGGGGAGTATCCTAAAGGCGCTCCGGGGGCGTGGCCCATCCCCATACCGGCACTTTGCATACAGTCACTAAAGGGCGTGGCTCGGGGAAGGAACCGCCCCATTCCATAGTTGCAGGAGGCGGGGCTAAAAGAGTTGACATTTGCCCGACCTGAGCAGGAGACACGTTCCATACTCTCCATGGTGGACAAGTTAGAGCACGTAACGTTGTTTCTGACTCACCCTGGTTCTAACTAGCTCCCTTCAGTAGACTGTCGGTGAAGCAACAAAGGTCATTGAAGAGCTGATGTAGCGAGAAACTTTGATAGAAGTTCCTGAAATGTACGCACTATACCATCACACAGCGTTCATTTTGGAGGTGTTCAAAAACAAAAGTGTCAAAAGCGGAGATCTCTAACACACACACACACACACAAAAAGATTGAAGTTTTTCACGAAAGCCTTGTGGTGATGATATGGTGTAAGTTTTAAAATCATTGATTAACTGATTGATATCCCCATAACCATAAAAAATTAAACATTGTATAACATATATTTTGGTTGATAACTTTGGGGTTCTCTCAATAACACACTTATTTTATAACCCCCAGGCGTAATTTCGTTGACCAGAGATGAGTATTTGACGATAAACCTTTGAAAATCCCTGAAAAAAATGTTGTCCCTGTTTCGACGCCGGCTCTGTGTGGTTATGTCGTTTCGAAACGTCCTCAAACGGGTGGTAAAGAATCCAGCATCTGGGGAAGACAATAAGGAAATTACGTTAGCGCCTTCCGTTGCGGTTAGCTGAACAGATAAATCTCCAGAGATAAAAGTACAAACAATTATAATATTTCATTTCCTTCCCTTGCTGGGTTGTTGTTGTTTTTTTGGGGGGGGTTGCTGTTATTTTTGTTGTTGTTATTATTGTTGTTGTCTGTTTTTGTTGTTGTTGTTGTTGTTGTTGTTGCCGTTGTTACTGTTGTTGTTTCTGCTGCTGCTGCTGGTGCTGCTGCTGTTGCTTCTGGTAACGTGTAACCTGATTCAGAGCCTCATTTTGCAAGGGTTTGGCACTGTTGTGGCATTCACACAGAGACAGAGTTGAAAGTCTGCAATGCTGTGGTCCTCCCAACCTTGTTGTATGGTGCCACGACCTGGACAGTCTTCCAAAGCCATGCCAAGAAGTTAAATCATTTCCATATGAAATGCCTCTGGAGAATTCTTGGCATTAAATAGCAGGATAGAACGACGGAGTCCGAAGTTCTCGAAAGGACATACGCCGAGTTTGGTTACTAAGCTCAAAGGGACTCAGCTTTGTTCGGCTGGCCATCTCGTAAGAACTCCTGTTTTCAGAATTCCAAAAGCAGTATTCCTTTCTTAGCTGTCAACAGGAAAACATTTTTTAAGTGCTACAAAAACACCATGAAAATGTCTCCAAAGGACTGCAACATAGATGCTTCAATATGGGAGAGCCTGGCTCCTGACACACCTAGCTGGAGAGCAGCAGTCAGAGTGGGCAGCAAATCAATATGAGGCTTCACAAATAAGAAATGCTGAAACAAAGAGAGAAGCCTGCAAGCTGCTCACATTCACAAAGCAGAAGAGGAGCTTTTAAATGTTCA